TATTATTTTGTGTAAACCTGAGATTTTTCTTTTAGTTATCTGCTGAGAGTCCCTTTTTACTTTTCCTCCAGACTGAAGTTTCTGGAGCTGTTCCTTGCTACATCTTTAAGCTGCGTATGCAGCAGTTTCTGACTTGCTGTTTATTTTTCTGATTTGTGCTCACTAACATGATGCTGTGTCATGCAATTTTTACAATTTTTTTGAAGGTTAACACTGTCAGTAATAGAAGGTTAATAAAATATAAAGAAATGATAGACATCTTTACATGGTAATGTTAACAAGATGATGTATTGATAAAACATGTTGAGGTCCCAAGGTCAGAGGCGTCATAGAAATTTTTGTTCATTTTTAATAGCATTTGATGCACAAGGCTCCTTGAAGCTCTCTCTCTGAAAAATCATATAAAGCCATTTTCCTTAGGGAAAAGTGTCAGCTGACATTTGCTTTATCAGGTATCAAGTCTTAAATATTGGGTTAGAATGATTAGAGGTAATAAACACTCAAACTACTTAATAACTGGTATGAGGATAAATATATTACCAATCAGAGCGTGTCAGTGGCCCATCAGAAAATGCCCTAAGGGTCACAGCTAGTAAGACCACACACATGATGGTAATGTCCAATAATATCATGGGCATCACTGCTTACTGTGATGCCTTTCTGAGGCATTTAGACCTTCTACGCTAGTTACATTTACAAAGCATTGTAATATTACTTAGATGGATATGGAATCTGGGGGTAAAGCAAACGTCTGTTACTTGTCTAACAATCACTCCCCTGATCATTTTAGCATTTGGTGTCACCTACAGAAGTTACAGCCATTATGAATATATTATAGTATCGCCTGGGTCAAGAATTAAATGCAGTGTGGATCCCGGAAAGAGTTACGTACAGTGTACATTCATAAAAATCATACAGGCCTGAGATAATTAAGGACTAATTGGAGAATGCATCAATCCTACTAATAGCTATTAATAGCAAGTTCCATTACATAAAAACTAATATAAACACTTTGATGGTTACATTTTCAAAAAATAATTCTTTTAAATGGCATTGTTTCCCTGGTTACTCTTACCAAACACCACAACACTTTTCGCCATTTTTCCCCACAAAAAATTCTTCTGAGATTTTTGAAAGTTTTATAATTGATACATTTCCCCAGTTGCACAAGGCCTAAACAGTGAGATAAATGAAAGTTTCTTTGAAGAAAAAAAAAATGAACCTCACAAAGTTAGAGTAAAAGTTATATTGAGAAGACTGTACCAAATTAAATGGATAGCTGACTGCTCTTTTCCTTTTTACTCATTCCAAATATAAAGACTGACTCACGCTTCTCTAGACAAAGTTTTTGGTTTTTTTAAGTCTTCTTTTGGACACCATTGCCACTGATTGTGATTGGAAGGAAACCCAGGATGACATGTTGCTGGTGCTCTTTGCACCTGTGCAAACAAACACTGCCCCCTACAGGTCATCCTCTGTCTTCCAGTCAAGACATTTTCTTTCTATACTGCCTCTCTGTGTTCACAAAAAATCAATCAATCAGTCAGTGTTATGGCGGCTTGTGTCTTGATGTCTTATCAAAGCCTCATGCAGTCAGAGGTGGGCCTTTGCAGAAAAGGCTGGATCTACAGTATGTGACTGATTCACGAGGCAATGCTGTGATGAAGGGTGTGATTACTAAATTGGTCCACTAATTGGTTTAGCACCACCCTGAATCCCCAGTAGCCTAGACAGAGGACAAAAAGGGCAGAGAAACACTGTTAAGGTTCCTTGTTGCTTTTGCTACCTTGTGGGCACCATGAACTCTGTCCTCTCTGATGCCCCTCTGCCAAGCCACCCTGCTTTGTAACCAGTCAGTTATACACTGAAACCTCTATAAACTGTGAACTAAATAATCCTTTCCTCCTTTAACTCTGGACATTGGGTATTTTGTCTTAGCAACAAGAAAAGTAATTAAGGCAATCCATCAGTCTATCCAGATTCAGGATGTAATGTAGCGTGCTCTGTCCATGTGGGTATACAGAAATGTTGTGAGGAGTTGTTGGGGTACAGTGGGAGCAACCAGGGTGTTTACCACGAAAGTTTGCAGAATGTGGTTCTCAGCCTACGTTCTTTAGAACCACAGCATCAACACCATTTTTTGGCAACTTTGTTAGAGTCACAAGTTCTTGAATGCTATCTCAGACTTTCCAGATGAGAAACACTGGGCAAGGCCCAGCAGGCTGTGGTTAATGAAACACTCCAAGTGGTTCTGGTATGGGCTTAGAACACTGCCTTAGTGAAGGTCTGATTCGATGACAGGACAAAAGTACAAATCCACAAAGAACTACCGCTAGCACCTTTGTTACTGAGATGCGACCACCCTGCGGGACCATAGCTACAAAAGCACCTTTCCTGGGTTTTAGGTAGTGGAGACGTTTTAACTTTATTTCTCTGGATTACAACCATTTTTTGCAGCTTGAATTACTTGCTTCAAGGGAATCCTGGGTGTAAATTGTTCAATATTGCTCTTTCACACAGATTTGAAAGAATTTATGTAGATTGCTAAACTGGTTTTCCATTTAAAAGGTGCTTTATCTATCTTTTGGGAAACACTTTTCCATTTTAATATATTTGTCTCAATTTAATTTGATTTGGTAAATTTTGCTGAAGGATTGGAATTCACTTTTCCTGCCTGAAAGTTTTGACAACCTATGGTATGGACTTTTAATTTTGAACATTATATTTGGTGAAAATCAACCACAGAAGTTTTAAAGCTTTGCCAGGAAACTTTAGATCTCACTACGATTTGCATGTTGCATAATTCAATTATGCACTCAATCTACCAGTGTAGCTTCGTCTATGAGAGCAAGAAAATTGTTACCGGACTCTTTGAATTTCCAGATTACCTTATACTGTTTGCATTTTTTACTTATCATGTCTGAAAACATTCTTCCCCTTCCTTTCCTTCTTTTCTGATCACTTTTGTCTCTTTCTCCACTTACCTTTCTTTTCTTTCCCTCTTTATTTTCTTCTTTTAAAACATACTTTCTCTTATGTATCAGAAAAACACTTTTGATTTCACTTAAAAATAAAAATTGAACTTCTCTTTGGTAAATCACTTGGTATTCGGCCTTCACTGTTTAGTTATATCTCATTACTGTGATTTGTTTCTCACACTGGACATTAGATCTTAAATACCTTTTTTTAAAATGTTGGCATGAGGCTAAGAGAAATCATCTATTTAAATAAGGCTGAGTCTGGGTAAATGAAAAAACATACCTAGCAGGTGTTCTTACTTTTAGTTGTAATTCATCTGTTTTCATAGTTGAATAGTATTCTATTGTATTAAAATACCACAATTAATGTACCTATTTTTATGGTAAAGTATATTTCAATTGACTGAAGTTGTTATTAATGTAACATAATAAACAGTCATGTATACATCTCTTCTGATGTATATATGCAAGGTTTTACTAAAGCAAATAATTGGAATTAGATTTTCTAGATACTACTCTGCAAGCATCTTTTCTAGATAATGCCAGATTGATTCCCAAATGATTGTACTTTTCACACTTTCACTAGGAGTATGTAGGATTTCCTTTTGCTCCACACTTTTATTTGTAATTGGTACTGTTAATTTTTGCAAATTCAGTAACTGGTGATTGTGCTGCCTGTGTTCTCATTTTGCATTTGCCTAATTACCAGTGAGAGTGATCATACGTAAATGTACTGAGGGTTCATTTGTGTTTCCCTTTTGGGGAACAATGTTTGTTTATATCTTTTCTCGAACGTTTCTATAGTATTGTTTTTATTTATTAATTTTGAGGAATCTGATATATTTAGAAATCTCAGTATTTTCCTTTCTCAGTCCTATGTATTAGAAGTAAGTTCTCCCAGTGTTTGGTTTGTGTTTTCACTTTTGGGAAATGATGTTTTCGATATATAGGACTTACTTCTCATTTCAACATTCTATGGTATGTGTTTTGTGTGCCTGCCTTATTTAAGAATCACTACTTTGCACAAAGCATACTCTTAAATGGCCAGTTCAAATTTTAAGGTTCATCTTTTTCTAGGTCTGTAGGTATCTTGGAATTGTTTTCTTCTTTGTTTACATGGTGTGTGTGTGTGTATGTGTGTGTGTGTGTGTGTGTGTGTGTGTGTGTCCGTGTGTGTGTGTGTAGCGATCTTCAGCTGGTGGAACCACTTGTTCCATCACTGTCTAAGGACTAATTCTCCACTTCCACACTTCTCTGTATCGCCCCTGTCAGATGAGTTCCCGCATGAGTGAGCACCAGTTTCTGGGGTCTCAGCTTTATGCCCTTTGGATTTCTGTTGCAACTCCACAATGTCTTACTTAGTTCATATTTGTGATTAATGCTGATATCTGGTCGGTAGTATGTATTACTTCCATCATGTGCTTTTTCTGAATTATCTTCAAAACTTGCCCATGACTTTCTACATAAAATATGTAAAAATCTTAAGCATTTATCAACAAGTTAACATGCTTCAAAACAACATTCTGTATACAGGAAACATATACAATTTATAAAACTTATTGTTATACACAATATATAAAATTTTAAAAATTATTTTTAAGCAAAAACAAGTAGTTACACATATACATACATATCACATAATTTTTCTTAGATTTGCACTGCCTATAAAGAGAATTTTCAGATTCGTGCTATTTAATCTTCTAACCATCAAAGGGAAAAATGTTCATTTATTGAAGTTTCAACTACCTTCTTTCTTCAGTAATTGTTTTTGTGGAGTCAGTAGTGAATTTTTAGGTTTACTTGATGGTATCAATCCAGTATTTGAGGATTTTTCAATAAAGACTTAATACTTACTTCAGGATATCTAGTTCAGCATCCTATCAGAAGTACAGGACTTGTATAGAGTATTTTTACATGCAGATTTCTATGTAAGTTCGTGTGATCATTTTGAGTTTTTTCCCACTGTTAATTTATATACCAGTATATGTGCTTATGAAAAATACATATCTGTTTATGTTACAGGTGAGAAAATGTTAATCAGTGAGAAAGCCCATTTTTGGTCAGGAAGAATTATACAAAGTAGATCTGAAGGAAATTTGGGTGCCATGGAAGAACAAAAGCTCTCAAAAACATGCAACATTCCAGGTACATAATCTGTAACTATTGTAATTTTTCTATGTGAGTAAGTCAAATCAATCACTAGTAAGTACTGAAAGTCTACTTCTAAAACTATTGGAAATGAAAAGAATATAAAATCTCAATTTATAGAAATAGCTATATGATATGTACAGAAAAGCCACACTAACAGATTACAAAAAATATAATAAAGTGGTAAAAAAATTGATTAATAAATGAGTGGTATATGCAGTATATAAGGGGTACCTCAAAGAGATGGGATTTAGTCAGCCTAAAAACTAATCATGGAACAAAAATCAGTTGAACAGATCCTGCGAGCAAAAGGAAAGTTCTGGGGTAACCGAACTGAAGACAACTGTGGACACATGAGAAATGCCATCTTCATGTTTTCAAAATGCATTTTCTAACATTTAATATATGGCACTTAAACTAGTTTAAATCAAGGGAACAGTTCTACAAATGTGAAAAATATCTAAGAGTTTACTTGATTCATTTTTTCTATAAAATGTTAGCCATTTGGTTGCTCATTTTCTCTAAAATACCAGTTTTAAAAAATTTGAAAATACAAGTTTTAAAAAATGCAGTCATTACTAACGTTTTCTGAGGAAGGCCAAGTAGGAGTGACTCTAAATATAAAAAAATTGGCTTTAACATTGTGGAATATATAGAAATTCTTAAACTAGAAACACAAATACTTTAATGTGCATCTAATTCTCAAAATACTTATTTTGCAAAGTAATTACATGTTTGCATTTTTAGTGGTTAAGATCATTCATTGCCTTGCAAGCTTGAAAAAGCTGAAAGAATTCTTTCAACCAGTAGTTCCAGCAGTGGTCTATATTTTGAATGTTATTTTTTACACTAAAAATTCAATTAAAATTTATGAATATGAAATTATCAAAAATATTCTAAGAAATCACTGATGACTGGCTAATTTAATGTATTGATTTTAAATAGATGCATTTTTTAATTTTATAGTAATGTATTTTAATTAATTTAAGTACTAGAAAGTATATAAAACCAATATCAACATATGTATACATATATATTTTTATTTTAAAGAGAATTAAAAAACAAAATAACAACATACAGAAAAGTAAAACAACACAAAAGCAATAAAAATGATATAGGGTTTAAAAACAAAATGATAGGAATTAACAGTGGTTGTTATATTACATATTGTTATCTTTAATGTTGCTCAGACTACCAGATGTAAGAATGCAAGATTGATCAAACTATTAAAGAGAACTAAAATTTTTTTTAAAAACATTAGGAATGATTCAATTATTATTTTTTTTCTTTGTGAGACAGCATCTTGCTATGCATTTCAGGCTGACCTTGCACTCACTTTGTAGCCCAGGCTTCTCTCGAACTCACAACGATCCTCTTGTCTCAGCCTCCTGAGTACTGGGATTACAGGCATGCGCCACCTTGCCTGGCAAGATGATTCAATTATTAAGACTTTCTAAACACTGAATAGTTAGTTTCATTGTACCTAGAATATTAACTTGATATTTGAACATTCCATATTTCTCATGAGTTCAATACTATCTGAAAAGGAAAACATGAAATTAATATTCTAGGTATAATCAAGCTAACTATCCAAAGTTTAGAAAGTCTTAATAATTGATTGAATCATTCATTTTGTTCAGAAGTTTGCTTTTGTGGAAATATAAAATAATAAGACATGAGTGCATGCTACTGAAGGTAATTTTCAAGAAAATGTACTAAATATGTTCTCCTCTAAGGTGTGTAACATTTATTTAGTTTATATACCACCACGTCTTATCCTAAATTTATCTACAATCACAATAACTTGATAGAAAATTGCCCTTTCTCATTACAAGCAAAATTGATCAAGTTTGCCAGTAAGTTTGAAATACCTAGTATACTAGAGATCACAAAGCAAAATGAAAAATTTTTAGCATATAGGAAAAATTGGTTGTCTCTTAGCTTGTCACCTCATTTTTGTTTTGCTTTGTTTTTGTTTACATATCAAGAATACCAAGACCCAAGTTTGCTTCACCATTGGCCAGATGATTCTACTCTTTGTGGTAATAATGCTTCCAAAACTAGGAATCCATTCTGGAGTGAACTGTCTGCTTCCAACCCATTTTTGGATGATATAACTCAGCTAAGAAACAGCCAAAAGAGAGATAATGTTTCCATCTTGAAGGAAGATCCTTTTCTTTTTTTAAGAGAAATAGAAACTGGGAATTCTTTTGATTCCTCAGGTGACGAACTTGATGTGTGTAACTTGTTCAGGCATTCCTCCTCGAGGAAATCAGGAAGATCTAAAAGTGTTTCAGAACTTCTAGACATTTTAGATGACACTGCCCATCCTCATGATAATATTCACAATTCTGACCAGATCCTAGTACAAGACTTAGAATGGCTTCAAGATGACCGGGAAGCTTATAAGATGGCTTGGTTAAGCCAACGCCAGCTGGCCCGCTCCTGCCTGGATTTGAATACAATTAATCAGAGTCCTGGATGGGCCCAGACACAGGTGGCAGAGACCATCACAGTTTGTAAATTAAATCACCAAGGAGGCTCTGTACAATTACCGGAATCAGACATCACTCTTCATGTTCCCCAAGGTCATGTAGCTGTGGGAGAATTCCAGGAAGTCTCACTAAGGGCTTTCCTGGATCCTCCAAAAATGCTCAATCATGATCTTTCATGCACTGTAAGCCCTCTTTTGGAAATCACATTAAGCAACCTTAATACAATGGAAGCTATTTTGCTGGAGATGAAAATCGGGGCTGAAGTGAGAAAGGATCCTTTCAGCCAAGTCATGACAGAAATTGTGTGTTTATACAGCCTGGAAAAAGAAGGCCCTTTCAGGGCATTAAACATCTGCTATATTTATAAGGACACCATCCAAGTCAAGCTAACGGACTTCAGTCAGGTGATGTATCTAGTGATTGCTGCGCAAGCTAAAGCCATTCAGTCCCCAGCTGCCACTATTTGGGACTATATCCACAAAACCACCACAGTTGGAATTTACGGACCCAGATACATCCATCCCAGTTTCACTGCTGTTTTCACTGTCTGTGGACACAACTATCTGCCAGGAAAGCTCACAGTCTCTGATATTAAGAAGGGTGGGAAAAGTACATCTCCAGTTGTATTTCAGCTCTGGGGGAAGCATTCGTTTTTACTGGACAAACCACAAGATTTAAGCATTTCAGTTTTTTCATGTGATCCAGATTTTGAAGTAAGGGAGGAAGAAGAAAGGAAAGAAGTTACACAAAATCAGCTGGAAGCAGGTGAAGTAGTTCATCAACAATTTTTATTTTCTTCGGCTGACCATGGAGAGATGCACTTGTTTGTTTTCCGTGTTCAGGTGGATACTCCCGACTGTAGACCAGTTACACAGTTCTTTATCACTTCACCTGATCCAGCTCTAAATTTAAAAAGGCTGTCAAATCTGCCTGGTTATTTGAAGAAGGAGAAAGAAGTCAGATCTGCTCCTTTACTGCCAGCACTGCCTGTTAAGTATCCCACATTCCAAGATAAAAAATTGAACTTTACCAAGTATGGGGTGACCCTAAAGACAGTGCTAAGACAAATCAAGCTTGACTACTTACTTGAATATTTCAAAGGGGACACAATAGCTCTTCTAGGAGGAGGTAAGATAAAAGCCATTGGTCAGTCCAAAGTGAAAGAATGGTATGTGGGAGTCCACCGAGGCAAGATCGGACTTGTGCACTGCAAAAATATCAAGGTGGTTTCAAAAGAACAATTAATGTCTGTGTCTGACAGTATCTTCACAACCAGGAATCTTCTTGAACAAATTGCCCTGCCCTTTAAAAAAATGACTTATATATACTCAGTTGTATTGACCTTGGTGTCCGAAAAAGTGTATGACTGGAAAGTTTTAGCTGATATCCTGGGTTACTCACATCTGACACCAGAAGATTTTGATCAAATACAAGTAAACAAAGAATCAGAAAGGGTTTCTTATGTTGTAAAGAAGTTAAAGGAAGATTGCCATGCTGATAGAACTACAAGGAAATTTCTTTATGAACTGATTGTGGTGAGTACTGCTTGATCATAGTAATTTATTTGCCACAGATAATTTTATCAGCTTGACCAAACCAAACATATGAGAGGAGAAATTTCTAAAAATGGTCACAAATACACTATGGCTACTTTAGAACAAATGCAGAGCTTTTCCTGTAAGATCATATAATTGGATTCTTAGATTTGTGATTCAGCTTTGATTTTCTCAGAAAATAGATCTCCAAGGATCATCTTTTTAAGGGACGATTAAAGGTTCTGTTTGTGTGGGATCTAAAACGAAAGAGACAGTTTCTCTTCCTCTCTCAAATACTTAGGTAGGCCTTAAAGGATCAGAGAAGCTCTATAACACACAAGTAAATAGTGACAAACTTAAGCAAAACTAACTTGGTCATTGCTTCAGATCATCTTTCATTATTTTTTAAAAAAATATTACCAATGTCCTGTATTGCGGGAATTTAATTCTTCTTCTCTTTGCAGTGTCTCAAAACCAAGCAATGATATTGCTAATTCTCTTCTTAATCTTCACTTTCTAATAGTATTTTGTGGTAAACTTTTTCAGCTAGTAAATATTCATACCAGTGGAAGGCTTACAAGACAGTTATAAAGAATTGTTTTTTTTTAAAAGTTGAAATCCAATAATTTATAAAAGATAAAAAAGATTAAGAACATATTTCTAAAGACCATTTTTCTTAAGAAATGATAAAAATGTGAGCATATAAATAAAAGTGATAGGTAACACTTCCTAAATAATAGCTAATACTAAAAGCCAGTGACATAGGAGAGGAGTGAGATTGATTATACAGGAAGGTATGTATACAGGAGTAAAGTATGAAACAAATTACAAAAGGAGGGCAAAAAGCTGGAGGGGGATTTTAATCTGTGATATTAAGAATAATTTCTATATTAAAGAAATAAATATATAAGACATTTCTATACTTTGGTTTTTTTGATGATTCTACAATGATGCTAAGAGGAGTTAAAATTTAAGAACTCCAATATCCAGTTAGTAAGTGAATATTTTTATTGTAGTGTACTGCATTTTCACTTAACTTGGACCTTTGGAAACTGAATGCTAGAAGCTGTTCTACCTTGTAAAAGCTACATATGCATTTTGCAATAGCTCATTATTTTTTACAGCTCAGGTTCAGCATATAGCCACAAAGGTTTAAATCAAAACTGGCTTTCTTCTGTTCTGTCTGGTTGAAAAGAAGTTATATTAGCCTAATATCAAGCAGTTAAGCCTGATGATACCTGTATTTCTTGTAGGACCTGATGGTGAATGCCTGGCTAGATGATGAATAATGGTAGAAAGCCCTTTCAAGAGATTAGTTCCTGAGAGGGCCCCAAAATGCATGTCTCACTTTATTTAGTGAAGGCTTCAAGATTTTTGTATGGAGAAGGCTTAGGCTTGGCCATCTGATAGGAGAGTGATTGAACATGAAGTGTCAGGTAGCTCTTAAAACTTTATCTGTGTAGTAAATAAAAATTGTTTTTGGACTGTAGATTCATTTGAGGAGGCTGGCCCAATTGGGAATTTACAAGAGGCTGCCTTTATATGCTTGATACTCAGTAAAGTCTTTCAGCATCTGACATAATCTTTATATTTATTATGCAGAATTACATGGTGGTATCATCACATCCATTTTTTAAATCGTTAAGTAGAGATATTGAGTAATTCATCAGAAGTCTTCTTCTTTGTGGAGACTTTTTTTAAACTTTGGCTCTGTGACTTCACGTGGTGACTTATTTTGCTCAAAGGAGAACCTGAACTGGACAGCGAGACAATGGTATATCCATTGTACAGTCTACTAAAAGAACTATCAGGAGCTTATTGGCTCAATATTGCTTTTCACTGAGGTCCTAACTGCCCAGGAAAAATGCATGGATCAGTGTAGTCTATGTATGAAAACCACAGGTGGTCCTTCTAATTATATACTTCCATGGTGATAAACACTCTGTGGATTTCAGTGGTTGCCTAACTTGGTCATTCACTTTTTACTTATTGTATCTGAATGCTAGATAAATGTTCTGGGCAACATTAAATAATGAGGAGCAATTGACACTTTTATTTGATTATTTGAACAAAAGGTATATATCAATAAAATTGCATTTCTAAAAATATATTCCAAACAAAACAGAAACTTGTAGACTTGTTCAAAACATACTTGGTGAATGAAAAAGCTCAGCTACCAAAAAGGAAGAAAGATTCTGATGGTTTTCCATTTGGCCATTTACAAGACTGTTATCTTTGATATCCTGTGTTTTATATTTAACACAATTACATCAGTACTGAGAGAGACCGTTGGTTATTTTAAAATTCATGAAGATCAATAATTTTGTTCAAAGTTGGAAAGTCTTATTGTTATGCAACAGGAGTGCTTATAAGAAGTTTTAGATTTTTTTTGGAATGGGAGAAATGCTGGCGATTGAACCCAGGGACTCATGTATGCTAAGCATGCTCCAGTTCTAGGAAGTTATAAATCACATTTTGGTGAAAAAGTAAAATAATGTTTACCATCACCAGTGATTTCACTCTATAGAGCAAGCTGGTAGCTAATCATCTGGTAAGGTAAGAAGTTATTTTTTGAGAATCAACCTTGAACTGATAGATTATGGACTGTTGGAACCTCAGCACTTTTAGAAGTGTGTAGTTTACCCTATTCCTCAAAAAATTAAAGATACTAAGACACACTGGTTCAGCTACTTCTTCAGGATTGCTTAATTAGTCAGTGTTTTAGTTCTAAATCTCTTCTAATTCTGATTTAATTATATCCACTATAGTGTTTGTTGAATTTGCTTAATAATAAAGCAGTGATTTAATGCTTTAGAAAACTCAGTTACATATGTGGGATTTTTTTTATGAAAAAGAGTTCCAATTTCTAGAATATGGAATGAAATTATTAATTTAAAGAAAAAAAACCAAAACATTTTTAATTATGACGCATAATTACTGTCACAGGCTCTGCTAAAGATGGACTGCCAAGGGTTAGTAGCACATCTTATCCAAGAGGCTGTTATTTTGACTTCAGCTGTCAAGCTTGGAAAAGGCTGGAAGGAACTCGCTGAAAAGCTGGTAAAACTCACAAAGCAACAAATGAAGGCATATGAAATTCCTCACCAAGGAAAAACTGGAGATGTTGCTGTTGAGGTAAGATTCTTTTTTATGTCTTCTGCAGTAGTGAACAGTTTCAGAACAAATGAAACGTGTAATCAAGCCTGTACCATATTCACGGGTTAATTAAGGGAACATCCAGAACCACTAACTGTAGTCACTACCTCTGTAGCAGATCAAAATTATCCGAAATACACATTTATCACTGTTAAGGTATTAAGAGCCTTGAAAATGTATCAAACTGTTCCCTCTGAATTTCATACTAACCTACCTCTGGTAAAATGAATTGATTAAATTGGATCACTCATAGACAGGGATATAAAAACTTGAAACACTGAATAGCTGAATTTTGAAAGGAAGGAATTGGACCAAGCCAAGGCAAAGGAGGAGGATATTAATAAAAAGTATTTATAAGCCTCAGACATTGACTTATTCATTTGTCACAAACGTTGTTGGATGGCAAGAAGGACTGAAAGGGTGGTCATGGTAGTGAACAATGGAGATGTCTAACGTTTATTAACATCAAAGGAGGTAATAGTAGATAAAGGTTCTGAGCAGTATTAAATAATGAGAAGCAACTAAACACCTTTAGCTGTAGTGTATGAAAATGTTCATACCTTAGAAACTACAGATACTAAATATGGAATGACAGAATTTAGGACAAAGTAAACTTTTGTCATGTAAACATTTTTGTCTTTTATATTTTAAATTTTATGGGTACATTAAGATTACATAGTGACCACATTCATCATCAGAAATTTGTACTTGTAAATGCTATATCTACTTTTTTAATTTTAAACAAAATAAAAATTAGAAACAAACATTAAACTGCACAGAATTTCAAAACAAGGTGATAGGAAATCAACAACGATTGTTATATTGTATATTGTTATCTTCAATGTAGATGTTCAGATTAACAGATATGAGAATGTAAAATTGGTAAAAGAAATTAAGTATTAACTGTTCCTTTCAATAAACCAATAGACATTAGTAGTACAATTATTTTAGCTAACTTGAATGTGTGTGTGTATATATATATTTTCCCCTTTCTTTCTTTTCTCCTTCCCCTAGTAGTTTCTTTCCCTTTCACAGTATCTATTGTACCTTTCAGATTTTACTTACTCTTTCAGGTTCTTATATTAAACAGGCAGTACAATGTTTACACATGGAAGACTGTTTTATTTCACTTATGAGTATGGTTTCTAGTTGCATCCATTTACCTACAAAAACCTTGAGTTTATCTTTCTTTGCAGCTGAGTAATGCTCCATTGTATAAAAATACATCTTTTTTATCCATTCCTTGGTTGATTATTTCCAAAATTTAGTTATGACAAATTGTGCTGCTATAAACATGGGTGCACATATATAGCTGTGGTATGATGTTTGTAATTCTTCTGGGAAAAAACTCAAAAGGTAATAGCTGCATCTAATGGGACCTCCAACAAGTTTTTTTGAGGAATGTCCACACTGATTTCCACAGTGGTTTCATCAATCTACACTTCCACCAACAGTACAGTAGGGTCTCTTTTTCCACAGAGCCTCACCAGCATTTGTTATTTTTTGATTTTTTGATAATAGCCATTCTTCCTGGGGTGAGGTGGAATCTCAGTGTTGTTTTAATTTGAGTTTCTCAAATGACTAATGATACTGAACATTTTTTCATATATTTATTTGCCATTTGAATTTTATCTAATAAGTGTGTATTCATCTCATTTTTGAATTGGGTCTTTGAATTTTGCAGGACTGATTTTTTAAATTCTTTATATGTTCTAGATAGAAGTCCTTTGTCTGAGGGAGAGTCAGCTATATTTTTCCCAATTCATGTTGTTTGTTTTTTTTTACTCTGTTGGTGATTTTTTTTTTTTGATGTGCAAAAGCTTTCCAATAAGATGAGATCCCAGTTGTTGATTCTTTGAAGTATTTCCCATGCAGTTTTGTTTTTGTTCATGAACTCTGTGATTACCCCTGTACATAATATATCTTGATTTTTCTTTTCCCCCTAATATCTTCCCCCTTTAACCTTCTTCCCTTCCTCATTTATAAAAGCTTTGTTTCCATTTTTCCTCTTATTCTCTTTTTTTCTTTTCCCTCTCACTCCCTTTGTTCCACTTCAAATTTGAACATTTTCTTACCATTTACCAATGTTTATTATACATTTTTATTTTTAAGAGGAAAAAACAATAAAAGCGATGATACAAATTTCAAAAGAAGACAGTGGGAGAGTAAGAATGGTTAGTACATTGCTTACTGTTATCTTCAAAGTAGTTGCTCAGATTACAAGATATAGGCATGAAAAATTGATCAAACAATATAAGCACAAATCTTTCTTTTCAATGAACTAATAAAACTTAGTAATATAACTATTTTAACTAT